GTCATCTGGTCCATTCTGACTCATAACACCCTATAGGACCAAGCAGAACTCTCCCATAAAATTCCCAAATCTGTGTAAATCTTTTCCCAATTCTGTGTAAATCTTTATGGAAGCAGGTTTTGGTTAACAGTTGAATGCTTTAACCACTCTATTACCAGAGACACTTAAGTAAACTGAAGGAAGGAGGGATTGTAGAGGAACGAGAGGAATGTATTGGAGGTGACAGATATTGCTCACTATCTTGATGGCAGTGGTGGGTGTGGATGGGAGTGAGAATGGACAGACTTTGTTTCACATATTTCGGTCATGTTGTCAGAAAGGGACATTCCTTGAAGAAGTATGTTATGCTTGGTAAGATGGAGTGTCAACAAAAGAGGGGAAGGCCATCAACGAGATGGATTGACACAGTGGCTGGGACGATGGGCTCAAGTATAGCAAAGATCATGGAGCTGGAGCGGGACCAGGCAGTCTTTTGTTCTGCTGTGAATCGGACACGACTCGACACTTAATCAATAACAACAAAATTCCTAAATCTCCTTATATAATGGCAGCCACTCAGCTGCTCACAGTAGATTCCACCATGGAGTTGATTACCAGTCTCATCATGGGGAATACTACATCCAGCTGTCCAGCCACTCAAAACCAGGCCCCGCCAAGTTGACACATACCATTAACTACCACAATTCCACCCCTTATAGACTTGGCACCTGTTCAGATCTTCTTCACTGCGTGGCTCCAGTTCCCTGGTCCCTCTGAGTTGCGACCTTAATTCCTTGTCCTAACAGGCTCCGTTCATCTACCTCTTGGGCATGGCAGCCCTATCCCCTCACTTTAGGGCAGCAGCTATGCCCAAATCCCAATGACCCACATGAGTGAGCAGCCCCACACTCCAGAACCAAGTTGGTGAAAGTCTGATTCATTGAATCCTCGGAGGCTATGGTGGCTCCACCCCCAAGAATCATGGTCCTAGACTTTAAACCGGAGGCAGCTCTGCATCCTATTTCCTTGGGCTCCCCACTTCTGCAGATTAATGCTGAAGGCAAACCACTCCACCAGGGATCTTTCTGCCCAAATCCACTCAGCTTTCTTGCTCTGTGGGCCGGCAATCCTGTTACTCCATTTCCTGCTCGTCTCTTTTACCAATTAATGCCCAAATGCCTGGTTCCACCAGGAAGCACCTATCCAGTGGGATCCACCTTTCTCCAGCCTGTTGCTGTCTAATGCTGGTCCCTTGGCTCTGCTGCTATTGACTCTCTGCTGCTGTATCCAATCAAGGACACACTCCACTCTGGTTTCCACATTTTAGGTATCTGTCAGAGAAGCACCCAACTCTCTCTGTACCATATTCGGTTTTTGTTACCTGGTGTCACACTGACAGGAATATACCACAAATGGGATGGCTTTAATAAACAAGAGTTTATTCTATCACAGTTTTGAAGGCTAGAAGTCTGATTTCAAAGTGTTAGGCTCTAGGGACTGGATGAAAGCCCCTCAGCTTTGGGCTTCTGCCCAAGCTCTACCTCTTGCTCCTGGCCCCCTGAAGCAGAAGGCCTTCTTCACTCAGGCAGCTGCTGGCTGAGGCTGACAAACCCAAGGTCGGACAGGAAAAGGGCACAGTTCCGATGTTACCAAAACACACAGAAGGACATTGATTCAAGTCCATTAAGAGTCTCAAGATCAGCAGACAACATGGCAGGATGCTGAACAATGAGTCCGCTACATGCAGGATCCCAGCATGTTAAAGCTACAGACCATTCCTGAATCTCCTTCATACATATTGGGAGCGGACCACATCCCTATGGCACCCACTCAGCTTTTCCAGTAGATTCCACCAACGACCTGCTTACCAATGTCATGATGGGGAACAACTACATCAAGCTGCCCAGTCACTCAAACTCAGGTCCAGCCAAGTTGACACATAACCTCACATACCATGTTCATCATTAAAGCACACTTTATAGAATCGTCCCCAAGCCAAGTACTGACCAGAAGGAATTAAACAAATAAATATGCATTGTGTACAATTCCATTCATATGAATTATAGAAGATGAACGCTAATCCTGCTCTGTCTTGGAGGAGGTTCAGGGCAGCAGTCAGTTCCATGGTGAGGAGCACAGACTCAAGTCCTGGGATTACTGTCACCTAGTAGATGCTTTCTCATATCTCACAGAGCCCAGTGCACAACTGTTTGTCTTTTTATATCTGTGAAATTGATGTTTCACCCACCTCGTAGTGTTGGCCTCCACCTGACATGTTTGTGTATGTGTGTGTGTGTGTGTGTGTATGAAACTGGATAAGATAATGGTAACTTGGGGTTTAGATCAGTATAATCCCATAATAAGAAATTATATTTCCCCAAATGCTGTCATTGCCGTCAAACTCTCCCAGGACACTTATATCTGCTCTTAATCACTGCCCTCTCTGAAGTCATCCAACCCCATAGTAAGCTTTATAGGAGAAGGCTATGCAAATAGGGTCCCTTGTTCATCTGATGAAAACCAGGCCAGCGCCAACCCTGCAGCTCTGGGAGTGACGACCCAGTCCCTGGATACCCAAGGGTCCCCATTCAGTGATCTGCACTGAACACAGACGAGTCTACATGGAGTCATTCCTGAGCTGGGTTTTCCTTGTTGCTGTTTTAAAAGGTCATTTTTGTGGAGAACAAGTGCATGTGAATGGGCATGAGTGAGAGCAATAGTGGACGTATGTGACGGTTTCCTGACCAGGATGTCTCTGTGTTTGCAGGTGTCCAGTGTGAGGTGCAGCTGGTGGAGTCCGGGGGAGGCCTGAGTCAGCCTGGGGGGTCCCTGAGACTCTCCTGTGCAGCCTCTGGGTTCACCTTCAGCAGCTCCTGGATGTACTGGGTCCGCCAGACTCCAGGGAAGGTGCTGCAGTGGGCCGCAGCCATTAATAGTGGTGGTAGTGACATAAGCTATGCAGACTCCGTGAAGGGCCGCTTCACCATCTCCAGAGACAACGCCAAGAACACTCTGTATCTGCAAATGAACAGTCTGAAAGTCGAGGACACGGCCTTGTATTACTGTGCTACAGACACAGTGACGGGAAGTCACTGAGAGCCCAGACAAAAACCTCCCCTGCAGGCATAGGGCTGGGCAGCAGGGGGCGCTCCGGACTTGCCAAGCTCAGGATTCAGAACCAGGAGCAGGTGCAGATGGGGTTTAAGGGCTTGTATTCTGCTGTTGTCTCGGGGTTCGCCTCCATGTTGCAGTTTCCTGGGGAATCTCTCTGTTTTCTTAATTCTTTGCCGCCCCCTGACACCTGTGAATTCAAAAGTTGTGACAGTGGGAAGCATTCTCACATACAGAAAAACAGCCTGTCCCTTGTGGGAGGAATGACTCTGCCTGGATCCCCAGCCTCAGAGCTCTGATGAAGCTCAGGGAAGTCTGGGGCGTATCTTCCAATCCGACTCAGGGCAGGTGGAATCCCTGGGTAGCACTAATGGTTAAGGGCTGATGACTAGCTCCAAGGCCTGCAGGTTGAATCCAATCAGTGATGCCTTGGGAGACGGGCCTGGTGATCCACCCCTGAAAGGTCAGACTCAGGACAGAGACTGCAGTGGGGTTCCCAGTTAGGACACACGTTGGGATTCAGGGTAGAGCCAAGAAAGTGGCTAGGTGACTGTCAGTGACACATAGAAGCAGAATGAGATTCACACCTGACCCTTCTCCTCACATAAGAGTGTGTGGGTCAGATGTAGCTCTAGGCTGGTGTCTCATTTTGTCCGATCTGCATTCATTGTCTCTAGTTCAGCAAGGTCACTAATTCACGCATGTTAGGTAGTTTATATTTGCCAATACCAGCATGTTCATATCATCATAACTTTATTATAAAGTATGTGTCAGTCTGGGTGCTCTTAGAAGCAACCAGACATGATTCGGTTTTCCTGGGGGCGGGGGTTGCATGTGTGAGAGACAATGCAGAGGAGGCCAGGAAGGCGGGGGAGCTGTGAGGCACGATGCCTGTCTGATCACTGGAAGAGCAGGAGGAAGGGTTGGTTGACTTCTTCAACTGCTGTGCAGTCGAAGGTGGGTCCACGGAGTCCATCCAGGTCATCAATGCAAAGGTGCCCTTCAGAGGAGCCTGTGTCCATCAGCAATGGGCCTGCCTTTATATCATTGCTGCTCCTTAATCTTAAAGTAGGGAGCCTCTGGACTTGGGGTTTGGGCACACACAAAGGAAGGATTTCAGAGCACATCGCTGGTCCCTTGTGATTGCCCACCTTGTAGTTGGAGGAATGGGAGGCTACTCTCAGAGCTGACACACTCTTCATAGAGCTTTGTATTACACAGACCACTTGTCTGTCAGTTTTTCCTGTCGGGGTGGCTTACATGTTGCTGTGAGGCTGCAGGCTATACCACCTAATGTTGTTTCAAATACCAGCAAGGTCACCCCCAGTGGACAAGAAATTGTAATTTTCCCAACTGTCATCTTTGCCAAAAAGCACCCCATGATCACTCCTGTGATCTCTGGGTTATGGTCCTCTCAGAAGTCATGCAACGCCACATGTTGCTATGAAGGAGGAAGACATGCAAATAGGGCCCCTCCCTCAGCGAATTAAAGCAGGTCCAGCCCCAACCTTGGAGCTGTGGGAGAGGAGCCCCTGCCCCGGGATTGTCGGGTGTCTCCATTCAGTGATCTGCACTGAACACAGAGAAGTGTCCATGGACTCCGGGCTGGGCTGGGTTTTCCTTATTGCTATTTTAGAAGGTCATTTATGGACAGGGATTGTGTGTGAACGGGCATGACTAAGAGAAATAGTGGACTTGTGTGACCATTTCCTGACCAGGCTGTCTCTGCTCTTGCAGGTGTCCGGTGTGAAATACAGCTGGTGGAGTCTGGGGGAGACGTGAGGCAGCCTGGAGGGTCTCTGAGTCTTTGGTGTAAGGGCTCTGGATTCATTTTCAGCAGTTATGACATGGATTGGGTCCGCCATCCTCCAGGCAAGGGGTTAGAGTGGGTCTCAGGTATTACTCCTGGTGGGGGCGCTTACTACTCAGACTCTGTGAGGGGCCGATTCACCATCTCCAGAGACAATGCCAAGAACACGTTGTATCTGCATATGGACAACCTGAAACCAGAGGACACTGCCCTGTATTACTGTGTGAAAGACACAGTGAGAGGAAGTCATTGTGAGCTCAGACATAATCCTCCACTGCAGGAAGGGAACCGGGCTCCAGCGAGCGCTCAGGACTCACTAAGTCCAGAAACCAGCACCAGGGGCAGGTGCCGATGGGGGTGGAGAGCTGGGTTCCTGGCAGAGTCTCAGGCTTCTTTTCTCTCACACACTTTCCTTTGGGAATCTCTCAGCTTACTGCTAAAGATTAAAGATTACAGTCTGCAATAATTACATTTGGCATTTAGACATTCATTAAATAGTTCCATTTCTTTACTGTGTTGAATGCCCGCTGGTGTCATCTGCCCCAGGTTTGCTAAAGTCTTAGTCTTATTTGTTCAGTCAGTGTTCTGGTTCCCTAGTGCCACTCTGACAAGAATATACCACAAATGGGATGGCATTGACAAACAGGAGTTTATTCTCTTGCACTTTGGAGACTGTAAGTCCAAATTCAAAGTGCCTGACTTTAGGGGCTGTGAGAAAGCCCCTTGACCTTAGGCTTCAGCTCTGCCTCTTGCTCCCAGCCCACTGAAGCTAGAGACATCTCTTCACTTGGGAATGGCTGAGTGAGGCTAACAAGCCCAAGGTTGACAAATAAAATGACACAGTCTCAATGTTAACAAACCAGACAACAGGCCATTAATTCAAGTCCATTGAAAGTCCCAAGATCGGCAGAACATGGCAGGCTGTTGAAAATGGCATGGCTGCATGCAGGCTCCAAGTGTGTCATAAGGTAAAGACCCTTCCCCAAGGCTTCTGCTTATATACAGGAAGTAGACCACATCCCAAAGGCAGCTACTCAGCTGCTTGTGGTAGATCCCACCATGGAGTTGATTGCAAGTCTCATCATGGGGAATAACTAACACCAACTGCCCAGCCACTCAACCAGGCCCATCCAAGTTGACACACAAACTGAACTACCACAAGTAGCAACCTGTCTCTCTACGGATTTCTGATTTTTCTCCCATTTGACTTCATCTACTTGCTGTGTTGAAGACATTTTTTCCTCCATGGTTGTAGTTATTGCTATTTCAAGAAAATGAACATTTTTTCTCTCAGATTTCTGCATTTTCACGTTGAGTATCCACTTTCCTTTTAATAGTCAGGAACTAGAACCAATCTGAATACTCCTCTATAGTGTCAACTCATAGAAAACTCACATATTGAAATGATACTCCAGATAATAAGCAATAAATTCTTGATATACACAAGAACATGGATAAATTCTGAAATAGCTATTCTGAGTCAAAGGAGCAAAACAAAGAATAGCATAGAGCTCTGGTAGCATAGTGCCTAAAGCACTTGACTGCTAACCAGAAGGCTGGTGGTTCAAACCCACCAGCCACTCCTCCGAAGGAAGGTTGGGCAATCCTACTTCCGTAGTGATACTGCCTCGGTAACCCAAGGAGGGGTCGCTATGAGTCGGGGCCGACTCGACGGCAAACAACAACAAGAACAACATCATTTATTGAAGTGTAGAAGAATCAACATTATCTAAATGACATTAAGAACATGAGTAGTTACTTGGAGCTGTCAGAGAAAGTAAGATGTAATCAAAACCTACCCCCCCCAAAAAAAATAGCTTTGATCTAGCCAAATTCTGACTCATAATGGTTCTATTGGACAGAGTAGAACTGCCCCATAGAATACCAAAGGTTGTGTAAATCTTTACAGAAGAAGGCTGTCTCAGCTTTCTCCCTCATAATGAGTAGTGGATTCAAACCACCAACTTTCTGCGTAGCAGCACAATGGTTTAACCACTACATCACCAGAGCTCCTTAGGTAAGAGGAAGGAGGAACGAATTCTAGAGGAACAAGAGGAATGCTTTGGAGGTGACAGATAATGTTCACTATCTTGATTGCATTAATGTCATAGTGGATGATAGGTGTCATTGAGTCAGTTCTGACTCATAGTGATCTCATGTACAACAGAATGAAACACTCCTCGAGCCTGTGTCAGCCTCACAATCCTTTCTGTATCCCACTGCCCACTGTGGCAGTCACTATGTCAATCCACCTCACTGAAGGCCTTCACCTTTTTTCATGATCGTTCATTTTACCAAACATGATATCCTTCTCCAGAGAATGGTTCCTTCTGATAATATGACCAAAGTAGGTGAGATGAAGTCTGGCCATTCCTGCTTCCAAAGAACATTCTGTCTGCACTTCTTCCAGGACAGATTTGGTAGTTCTTCGGGCAGTCCATGGTACTGTCACTATTATTCACCAACACCAAAGCTCAAAAACATCAACTCATCTTTGGTCTTCTTTATTCATTGTCCAGTTTTCCTCTGCTTATGAGGCTATTTAATATACCATGGCTTGGGCTACATGTGCCTTAGTCTTCAAATGAAACATCATTGTTCATCAGCACTTTAAAGAGTTGGTTTGCAGCAGACTTGCCCAGTGAAATAAGGCATTTGATTTATTGACTGCTGCTTTTGTTGCTGTTGATTATGGAACCATGTACCAAATATCAAATATCTATACAAAGAAAATTATTAAAAAAAAAAAAACTACTTCAAGAAACCATAAGAGATCTACATAAATGGAAGAACATCCCATGCCCGTGGATAGGAAGATTGAACACTGTGAAAATGTCAATTCTACCCAAAGCAATCTATACCTTCAATGCAATCCCAATCCATATGTCATCAACATTCTTTACGGATATGGAAAAACCAATCACTAACTTTATATGGAAAGGAAAGAGACTTTGGATAAGCAAAGCACTATTGAAGAAGAACAAATTAGGAGATCTCACACTTCTGGATCTCAAACCTACTTTACAGACACATTAGTCAAAACTGTCTGGTATTTGTTTCATGACAGATACATAGACCAATGGAATTGAGAACCCAGAATAAATCCATGGACCTATGGTCAGCTAATCTTTGACAAAGGCCCAAAATCCATTAAATGGGGAAGAGAATGTTTGTTTAATAAATGGTGCTGGTAAAACTGGAGATCCATTTGCAGAAAAATGAAACAAGATCTGTACCTCACACCATACCAAAAAAAAAAAGAACTCCCTCACACCATACAAAAAAAAAAAGAAGAAGAACTCCTGATAGATCAAAGACGTAAATGTGAAACCTAAAACTATACAGTTCCTCAAGCAAAATCTCGAGGCAAATTTAGGAGCCCTAATATATGGCATAAATAGACTATAAAGCATAAGTCAAATTGCACAAGCAGCAGAAACCAGATGATTGGAACCTAATGAAAATTAAATTTTTCAGTGCTTCCAAAGACTTCTCCAAAAGAGTCAAAAGAGAACCTATAGATTGAGAAAAAGTATGTGGTAATGATATATCTAACAAGGGACTTATCTCTAGAATTTATAGAAAACTCCAACACCTCAATAACAAAAAGACAAACAATCCAATTAAAAAATGGGCAGAAGTCATGAAGAGCCACTTCACCAAGGAGGATATTCAAGTAGCCAACAAACATATGAAGAAATGCTCAAGATCATTAGCTATGAGTGAGATGCAAATCAAAACAACAATGAGATACCTCTTGTTCCAGCACTAGTAGCAATGTTCAATGAGCAGAAAATAACAAATGCTGGCGAGGATGTGGAGAGATCGGGACTCTCACACACAGCTGGTGGGACTGTAAAATGGTATAACCATTGTGGAAAGCAGTATGGCGATTCTTTCAAAAGTTGGAACTAGAAATACCATTTGACCCAGCTATTCCTTTACTAGGTATATATCCACAGAAGTGAGAGCCATGACAAGAACAGACATATGCACACCCATGTTCATCACAGCATTGTTTACAATATCCAAAAGATGGAAACAACATAGGTGTCCATCAACTGAGGAATGCATAACCAAACTATGGTACATACACACAACGGATGCAAAGCTAAAAAATAATGTAGAATCTGCAAAACACCACATAACATGGATGAACTTGGAGGACATTATGCTGAGTGAAATAAGTCAATCACGAAAGGACAAATA